AAGAAGAAAACATTTTAAAACAGGCTAGTAGGGGAGTAACAATAATTAATACATTGTGTATTGTTATATTCATAATAGTTGCTCGGAGTGGACAATAAAGTTATAAAATATTGTCCAAAGTACATTAGTACTAATCTTTCTTCTCCATTAATGCAGGGTTATTTTTATTTCAGAAAATATTTCCCCCTCCCCTCTGTTTACAAGATGAGCTTCTACTGCAAAAGTGTTCCATTGTCCCCACCTTTTGAGACTGATGTTCAAAGGAGTCCAACAAAGCCACTGATGAAAGCATATATTAATAAGTCCTATTGCTGTTGTGAATGGCTGGTTTTAATATCCAAGTGTGATACTTATTCTGGAAAAGTACCTTCTTAACTTTTCTGAAATCCAAAGGCAACCACTCTTTCTGTCTCTTGATGCCTCCTTGACATTGATTGCTCTTACTCTTTGTGTTTTAGTAGCTTCAGATATTTAGTGGATTAACTAGAGTTTCTGTTCTGTCTTTGACACATGGGGGTGATTTCTGAAAGAAGTAGAAATAAATGTGAGGCTTTTCTTTACTGTGTTAAGAGCTTTACCACATTTAACATCTCATGTTTTCAAGTGCTGTGAAAGGCACGTTGAGTAACCACCTACCTCAGGAGTTCACAAAATATGGCCCATGAATAGTCTGGCCTACTGTCTGCTTTTGCAAATGAAGTTTTATTAGAACATGTATATTAAAAACTAGTTACCTTTTATTGTATATCATTTTCTTATAATCTTTTGTTTTTTCTTCTTCTTCTTCTTCTTTTTTTTTAACCAGGAATTGAACCCAGGACCTTGTGCTTGCCAGGCAGGCATTGTGCCACTGAGCTATATCTCCACTACTAATTCTTTCTTCTCATTCTATCCAGTTGAATTGCCATTTATTTTTGTGTACACCACCTGTTGCCTTAAATTATGGAAGCTGCATCTTCTTGGGTTTATTTTAGTATGCTAAGCTTTTTGTTGCCACTTTTTTCTGGAATCTAGAGTGGATTACTTTGAGTTTTGTGACTTTTGTTTTGTTCTTGTTCTGCAATATTTTTATAGATTTTATTCTTATTTATTTCTTTTATCTTCAAACAGTACAAATATGTCCTAAAGACTTAACAGAGAGTATGCTTAACTTACTTTTTGCCTCTCATTCCACTTGGCGGGGGCTGAATTCTTGTCTCAATTTAACAGTGAGAATAAAGATTAAAGTAAACTAACCTCAGTCCAATCTACTTTCTACAAATATTTTATCTCTCTTCTACTATGATACAAAACCATGTTGGGGAAGGGTAGACTGGGATTGGAACCCATGTTAATTTAACTAAGGTTTGGGGCCCTTAAAATCCCACTGTAGTAACTGAGACCAGACCAACTCCTTTTATTTCCTCAGGCAGACAGTAATTGGGTGAGAAAACAGGAAATGAGCTCCAATAAATTGGTATGGAATGGCATAAATCAAACTGATAATAAGTCTTAACTCTGATAGGCCCCTAGAGTTTGGAATGATAATCAAGACAGACTTCAGTCATAGCCACATTGGTTGACCCAGATGTGGTGGTACACTCCTCAGTACTCCTCTGCACTCTGGAGGCTGAGGCAGGAGGATCACTGCAAGTTTGAGGGCAGCTAAATCTATATAGTGAGTTCAAGACCAGTCTGAATTACATAGTGAGATCCTCTCTCCAAAAAATGGCTGAATTTTTGTCACACTATGATCTTCTTGTATTACATGTGTGACTACAAATAAATTTAAGAAGTATAGTTAATTCACAAATTTCAACCCAAGACCTTAAAGAATAGATTCTTTCATTAAAAATGAATAAAATAGATAATGAAATTAGAAAGGTACAGCTGATGATTTCCTCAGATAGAGATAAGCTACCTGGCCAAGATTAGGTCTTTGTCAGCACTACAAAGAGAGATCTAATGTGAATTTGAGAGTGGGGGAGGGTATAATGCTATTGTCTGACTATGCTGCAGTGTGGCCTGATTCTCTACATGTGTGGTTCAATTATTGAAAATTTGACTACACATGGAACAATTCAATGTGCAATTATTCCAAAGCGTGTTTGATCATAGATACCTTTTTCATGAGCATTCAATTATCTCACATGGCCCTGTAGAATAAGCTTTTCATGAAAGCTTCCCTTTGAGTTAAAGCCAGATGGAATTAATATCTTATGTATGAAGGTTATGTGAGATGATTAAGGTACATGATGAGTAGCATGGTATATTTGTTCTTTTTTTTTAAATATTTATTTATTTATTCGTGTGTGTGTGTGTGTGTGTGTGTGTGGCCAGCTCAGCCCACCAGGGGGCGGGACTGGCTGGCATGTGGTGCTGGGGGATTGAACCGTGGTCCCTGTGCTTTGCTAAGCTTGTTCTAAGTAGGTGCTTTAGACCACTGAGCCATCTCACCAGCCCATATATTTGTTCTTTGTACACCTATTTTACTATCATCTAAGTGTTTATTATTAATTCACTGAATTCCTTCACTCAGCCAATCCTACCCATGATAGATATTAAATATAGCTAGCACCATGATGGAATAAATGTTCTCTTGTGCTCATTTACATTACTGAATTGTGAATATATATTAGTCAGTGTTTCATCATTGAAACAAAATACCTGAGGAAAGCTATCCATGAAGAAAATAGGTTTATTTAGCTCATAATTTTGCATACTAAAATCCATGTTGTGTCCGGCTAGGACCACATGATAAATGGTGAATGGTAGCACACATGCAGGGGAATGGTCATACCTCAAACCAGAAAATAGAGAGCTGAGTGGTGTCAGACTTAACCTTTCCTAATAAACCTATCTGGTGCTGGATATGGTGGCTCATGCCTGTAATCCAAGTACTTAGGAGGCTGAGTCAGTAGAATCATTGTGAGTTGGAGACCAGCCTGGGCTACAAAGTGAGCTCAAGACCATCCTGAATTGCATAGCGAGGTCCTGACTCAAAAGGACAGTAGATAGATAGATAGATAGATAGATAGATAGATACATACATACATACATACATACATACAACCTATCTTGAGAACTAATAATAGGTCACTACGTTACATGAATGAGCACTGCCTTAGTCTTTCTTGAAGGTATACCCTTAATGACCTGAGGACCTTTTACTAGGTCTCACCACTTAAATTTTCCACCACTGCCAATAGCAGCAATCTGGGGACAAGGTCTTTAACATATAGACCTTTGGGAAACAAACAACATTCAAGTCATAACACATTGTGTTATGTGATTTCAAGGAAATACACAATGAGGTTGATATGAAGCAATCAACTTCATTGTCAAATTAGAAAACTAATGCCCAGAGAGCTATATGACTTGTTCAGAGTCATACTTCTGATAAATGGTAGAGCTATGATTTGAACCCAAACAATCTGAGTCTATAACCCATTGTTACATAGCAATGAAACCTACCCTGTGTAAAAACTTTACTGAGTTAAATAACTGTCATCATCATTCTTGCTTTGATCCCAAGCAGGCATAATACAACACCAGCAATCCACAAGCTACTTTCTGCACCACAGTTGGATTGTTACATATGTTGGGAATTCAACCCAGTGACCTATGTTATAATGACCTTGACTAGTATTTTTCCATTGATCTAGAATGGGAGATAACCTTTAACACAAAACTTGCTTAGAACCTGGGTTATGAGTAACCAGAGTTTTATTGTTTCTCATCTCCAGGTCTATGGGTTCTAGGGTGCCACAACTCAGACTTTCGGAACAGAGGCATGACAGCCTTACTGAAGGTTTCTAGCTGTGGCAGGAGCACTGGTGACGATTACGAGGACACATACGAAGATATTCCAACATACTTAATGAGTGAAAACCATATTGTTGAACCCAGAAGCTTCTCCCAAAATTCAAGGCACCCTAGCACTAGACAAAAGCAATTCACAGCTACCACAATTCCAGAAAATGACCCAGAGAAGACTGATCCTCAGTTTGAGGAGAGAACAGGGATAGATGAAGGACACAGTGTCTTCTCCAGTGATTTGTCAATGCTGTTGGGACAGAGTCCAACTCCACATGGGTTGCACTTATCTTATCTCCCAAAAGCCACATATAAAGCTCTTCCTGGTGATCATTTATCTGGCGCAATAGACAGTAATGAAGGCCCATCTAAAGTGGTAAAGTTCAAGCCAGAGGTATATCAAAGTGGAGACACAGTGTTTACTACTGAACCAAGCCTTCAATTAAGATTGAATGAGAACTGGGGCACAGCTATACCAGTAGAGTTGAAGAAACTTGATTTAAAAGTTTCTAGTTTACCTAATAATTTAATGGTTTCACCAACAATTGTGTCAGACAACTTGGCAGCAGGTCCTGGAGAACCAAGTTCCTTAAAACCCCCAAATATTCCAGTTAATGGTCAACTGAGCACCAGTGTATTTGGCAAAAAATCATTTCCACCAATTGGATCTGGTAGTGAGAGAAATACTCCACAAAGTTCCCTGGGAAAGAGTATGTTATCAGTGGAGAGTGATACATCACTGAAAGTGAAAATTGCTCATGGACCCACTTTGTTGACCAAAGACAATGCATTATTCAAAGTTAATATCTCTTTGATAAAGACAAATAAAACATCTAATTATTCAGTAACTGATAGAAAAACTCACATTGATAGACCAACATTACTAATTGAGAATACTACATCAGTCTGGCAAGATACTATATTAGAAAGAGATGCTGAGTTTCAAAAAATGATGTCATTAATGAATGATGAAGTACTTATGGACAAAAATACTACAGCTCTGAAGCTAAATCATATGGCAAATAAAACTACTTCATCAAAAAATGTGAAAATAGTTGCTGAAAAACAAGCAGATCTTGTACCATCAGATGACAAAAACCCAGATATGTTATTTTTCAAGATGTTATTCTTGCCAAAGTCAACAAATTGGAAAAACCAGACCAATGGAAAGAATTTCCTAAACTCTAGGCAAGAGCCTCATCCAAAGCAGTTATCCTTAGGATCAGGAAATTCTAGAGAAGATAAGAATTTCTTATCAGACAAGAATAAAGTTGTAGTAGAAGAGGATGCATTTACAAAGGACACAGGACTCAAAGAACTCATACCAAACAGTAGGAGCACAGTTCTTTCTAACATGGCTAATGTAAAAGAAAATGATACACACAATCAAGAAAAACCAATTCAGGATGCAACAAAAAGGAAGGAAGTATTAGCGCAAGAGAACGTAGTTTTGTCTCAGGTGTACAGAGTGACTGGCACTAAGAGTTTCCTGAAGAAATTTTTCTTACTGAACATTAGACAAAACATAAGTTTAGATGAGGGTACAGATGCACCAACACTTCTGGACACCAAATTGTTAAATGATTCAACAAACAGGGCAAAGACTCACATGGTTCATCTCTCAAAAAGAAGGGAAGAAGAGGAAATGCACCAAGAAAGCTTGGGAAATCAAACCAAACAAATGGTTGGCCAGTATCTAAGCACCATAGAGATATTTGCTAACCCAAGCCAGAACAACATCACTGCCCAACGTGGTAAGCGTTCTTTGAAACAATTCAGATTCCCACTAGAAGGAACTGAGGTTGAAAAGGGGTTAACTGTGGATGATACTTCAACACAAATGTACAAAAACATTAAAGATTTGACCCAGACAGATTACAAGGATAAAGGAGGAAAGGCCATTATTCAGTCTCCTTTAATAAAGTCTCCTGTGAGGAATCATAGCATCTCTCAGATAAAGAGCTCTGAGTCACCAACTACAAAGATGTCAGAAGTTCCAGTCGTTGGACCTACAGATCTGACTCAATTTGGATCTCAAGACAGCTCTTCTTATTTTCTACCCTCAGCTTCTACTTACAGGTTTAAGGCAAAAATTCCAATGCCCCAAGAAGACAGTCATTCCTTACGAGTACCCAAAATAAATAAGCTTTCTTTAGCCGTGCTACCCTTGGGGGTAATCAGAAATCAAGGAAAGGCTGGCTTCCTGGGGATAAGTGCCACGAAGTCAGCTGCATACAAGAAATGGGAGGACACTGTTCTCTTGAAACCAGTCTTACCTGAAACATTAGGCAAAGTTGAATTTCTTCCTAAAGTTCCCATTCATCAAGAAGACCTCCTACTTACAGAAACTACCCATGAGTCTCCTGTTCACCTGGATCTTAGGGAAAATATTCTTCTTCAGAAAATAGTAGGCACTATAAAATGGAAGAAGAAAAATGGACCTAGGAAAGCACTCTTTCTGAAAGGTGCAACAGAAAGCTCTGAAGAGATGAAATCCAAGCTGCTGGATCCTCTCACTCTAGGGAATCAATATGCTACTCAGATACCAAAAGATAAGTGGAAATCCCAAGAGAAGTTACCAGAAAATATGCTTTTAAAGATGAAGGACACCATTTTGCCTCTGAACCCTTGTGAAAGCAATTCTACAGTAGTAGAAATTAATGATGGGCCAAATAGGGTCCAAAGAGAAGCCACTTGGGAAAACGGCTGGACTGGAAAATCATGCCCTCTAAACCCACTTACCTTGAAGCGTCATCCAAGGGAAATAACCCCTACTACTCTTCAGTCAGAAGAAGAGGACATTTACTATGATATTATCTCAAGTGAAACCAAGAGAGAAGATTTTGAGATTTATGATGAGGTTGAAAACCAGGGTCCCCGAAGCTTTCAAAAGAGAACACGACACTATTTTATTGCAGCAGTGGAGCGGCTCTGGGACTATGGGATGAGTAGGGTCCCCAGTGCCCTAAGAAACAGGTATGACTCCACTGCTTATTCCTTTCTCTTGCTATTGCGACTTTGAACTTTACCAGGTGCTGAAATAGTAGGTTCTTGGGCTTCCTTTCCAAAGCAATCTCTGGACTCTCACTTGAGCAGGTGGCAAAGTCTTGATGAAGCTCAGTTGCAAACGAGAGATTAGATGGTAACAACAACAGTGAAAAAAACTGATCATCTCTGGGTAGGATGTATGCCTATATTAATAAAGTAAATTAATATTTTGTGTTTTTAATAAGACTACAATATATTATTTCAAACTGAGAAAAAAAAACAGTGAGAGTGAGCAATGGTAAAGTGAGATGTCAAGAAAGTCTTCCTCTGGTGGCAGGGGAAGGAGAAGGACTTTCAAGACAGTACAGGAAAAATAAATAAAAAGTTTAAAAAGAGGGGGGGGGATGGCTTAGTAGAATAAGTGCTTGCCTGGCAAGCACAAGGGCTTAAGTTCAATCCCTGGTTCCGCAAAAAAAAAAAAAAAAAAAAAAGTTAAGAGACCGTGCAGGAGTCATGGCCATGAAGCAGCAATGGGGTAGAAAGCCAGCCTCATCCATACAACCTTTGAGCTGCCAGAGAAATCAGGTTCTTGTGAGAGAGCCCTGGGAGTTATGAGGAAGAAGTGTGTTGCAAAGATGTTTAAGATGTGTGGAGAGTACTTTTCCAAAGCATGGGGGATTCAGAAGACAAAATAGGCTGGCTTGAGTTTGAGGAGATCAGGAGAAGGTTGGACAGGAGAGAGAAAACACAGACACATTTGGAAGACAAACATAAGTACAGTCAACAAAGATTTATGGAGCACCTACTGTATGCAGTGGGCCTGTGTTGCCTGACTGCTGCCCAATTCTACCACTTAATTTCTTTTCCATGCACCCCACCCTGAGCTCTTTGCTCTACTCATCGTGCTTGCCCCTATTGTCTGCTTTTGACACCTTTGAATTCTCTGTTTGATGCCTTTGCAGTTTCCTCTGTTGCAAAGCCTCATCAGTTGGCCTTTTAGCACCATCATTTAGAGCTCAGCTCCCCACCACAGCTAGAGTAACACCGTTAGTCACTGCCACATCTTTGTGTCTTATCTTCTGAAGACCACCAGTCTCACCCTCAGCTGATGCTGTGCGTTGAAGTTACCAACACATTTAGTGACCTCACACCTGTGGCAATAAGTGAACTGTCTGTGCTCCTAAATAAGGCCAGTCGCATCAGCCTTCTACTTCATCCCATTCTTCTCCCTTCATAAAGAAAAACATAGCTCCAGAAATTCTGCCCTTTCTCTCCTACATCATCATTTTCTCCTTGTCTATTAGACTAGTCTCATCAACATCAAGAATGTTATTATTAACAATCATTCCTTCACTAGTTATCAAACCCTAAACCTTGAAATTATACCTAACTCCTTTTTTTCCCTCATGCCCACATCTGCTGTACCAGAGGATCTTGTTGACTATAACTTTAAGAACAACCAGAATCTGATTATGGATTGAACATTAGATAAAATGAAAGTGCACTTCTGAGGCCCAGTACCTAAAGCAAACAAGCTACCTCATCCCTGAGATAGACATCCTATCTAGTTAAGGTCAACTATTACTCGCTAGGCAACCTAGGGTCATGTGATACTAACTTGGCAAAAGTATAAATAAAGGACCATTTTGTTGGGAAAAAAAAATATATATATATACACACAAGATAGTTAGATATGCAGCTACTTTCTCTTAGTTCATTGAGAAGAAAGGTTTGTACCAATATTGTTTAGACAAGATATCATGTCTGCATCTTGTCCTCTGAATAACTACTACAAAGATAATGGTATGAAATGTACTAATTATTGTAACCATCTTACTAACCTGTTTTGAAACTGTTTCATTGTTATTTTATCTTTTTCTCATTAAAATTAATTAAAAAATTTTTAAATAGCAAAAACATAGAAAATGCACTTTTGAGATGGAAATGTGAAGATGACTGGGGCATGGCAACAAGGAGGACATATAATACAGTGTTACTCTAGTTACTGTAGAAGTATATAAAAGTATATACTGATGTTTTAGTTTTAGACAATTCTTTGGGTTTTTTGGTATGGGGAACCGAACTCAGGACCTTGTACTTGCTAGGAAGGCACTTGTGCTATATCCCTGGCCTGTGATGTTTTATTTTTAAAAACATTGTTTACCTATATTCTCAAATACTCCAACAATGTTTGTGCATTGCTTCTTTAGCAATAAATCTAAAATGTAATAAAAGCAGACATGGCACCTGCAGACTGGAACATCTGTGGGGAACATCTGTGGTAGCTCACACAGGTGGACTCAGTTCCCAAGCCCCACAAGCACTCTGCCCTGGCCACCGCCTTCATCCATTTCTGTGTGCTCCTGACACTGCAGAGAGGCCCAGGCTGCACGGTGCGTAGAGGGTGGGTGGGGAGTGGACGCAGGTACCCACTGGGCCATGGCTCCTTAGGGCCTGGCTGTCCAACTCTTGTGTTCACCCTCCTTCTGTTGCTTTTAGGTTTGGTTTGTTTCTGTAAGACCATGAAGTCCCTCCGAATTTTTAACATAGGCACTTACTAGCTATAAGCTTCCCTCTTACAATTGTCTCAACTGTGTTCTATGCATTCTAGTATGTTGTGTTGTCTCAGAAGGTATTTCTCCTTTGATTCAGAAGAACAAGTTTGCTAGATAGAATAACATAACTTGGCAGTTATTGTATTTCAGGGACTGAAATATATCATTCCTTGCCCTCTAGGTCTGTAAAGTTTCTGCCAAGAAATATGAAGTTACAGATTTTGGATCTAAAATATCCCTGTTATAGTTTAGATCTAAAATTTCACCCCAAAGTGTAATGTGTTCAAAGACTAGGATTTTGGAAGGTGATTGTGTCAGGGATGCTATACTCATCAGTAGATTAATCCACTGATAGATTCATAGCTGAATATTCTTTAAGAGGTGTAGCTTGGTGAGAGGGGCTGTGTCAACAGAGACGAGACCAGAAAAGGCATACTCTTGTCCCTGGCTCCTCTCTTCTCACTCTGCTTCTTGGCTGCCATGGCTTGTGCAGTTTCCTCCTCCAGGTCCCTTCACCAGGCTATTTCTGCTTGAGAGCCAGCCAACCATGCATTGACTGAAGCCTGTGATCCTATGAGCTCAAATAAACCTCCCTTCCTCCAAGTTGAGGGTCTCAGTGACAGGAAAGCAGCAAATGCATCACTTTTATGTATTGAGTGACTTGGCATTTCTCTTTTGCAGCTTTCAGTATTCTTTCCTTCTTCTGTATGTTGGCATTTTAACTGTAATATGATGTGAAAAGATTATTTTCTGGTCATGCCTGTTTGGGGTTCTAAATGCCTGCTACACATGGATGTTTACATCTTTCTCAAGATTTAGGGATTTTTTGGCCATTATTTCCTTAAGTAGATTTTCTGTGCCTTTAGTCTGTATCTAGTCACCCTCTTCTACAACAAACAATGTGTAATTTTGATTTTTTTAATCATGTCACTGAGTTCTTGAATTTTTTATTTATGATTTCTTTTTCTTTATCATTGGGTATGATAAGGCATCAACCTTGTCTTCAGGCCTTGAAATTCTCTCTTCTACTTGATCTTGTCCATCGATCAGGCTTTTCATTGAGTTTAAAATTTTTTTAATATATTTGGTAGAGTCTCACTGCCCAGCTAGGACTTGTAGTGATCCTCCTGTTTTCAGTTTCCAGTGCTAGGATTACAGGGGTGCACCACCACGCCCTGTCTTGGTAGCCAGCTCAGCAGCATGTGGTGGCTGGGACCGAACCCAAGTCCCTGTGCTTGCTTCAGCAGGCACTTAGTCCACTGAACTATCTCGCCGGCCCTTCACTGAGTTTTGATTTTAAGTACTGAGCATTTCCCAATTTTCTATTTACTTCTTTCTCAGAATGTCTATCTCTTTGTTGAATTTTTCCTTCAGATCCTGCATTATCTTCCTTAATTGACTCAGCTTTTTATTTATATCCTTTTGAAGTCATTGATCATTTTAAGAATCAATCTTCTGAATTATTTGTCCAATATGTCATCCATTTCAGTATTTTTGCATTCAGTTATGGATGAGTTATAAACCCTTGGAGGAGTCATCTTGCCTTGCTTTTTGATGTTATTTAGGGTTTTTCTGTTGAGATTTGTGCACTGATTCAATGAATCTCTTCCATTCTTATGTGAGGGTCTTCATAGTGACCAGCAGTCTTTTGTAAGATCAAGTCTTAGCACCATTCAGAGAGCAGAAAACATAGCAGCACATTAAAGACAAGAAAAAGACAAAAATTAGGTGTTAACATACAGTAAAAACAAAATAGAAGCAAAACCTGTAACATTACTAACAATAGAAAAGAAAGGAGCAATAATACAGATTCAACTAAAAAGCTAAGAATGAAGTTTAAAAGTAATAATAAAATAGTATAAATATAGAGGGCAAAAGAAAGGGAAAATGAGAAGAAAAAGATTTAAGAAAGAAAAGGAAGACATGTGAAAGGCACAGAGAGCAAACTGGTCAAGCAATGGCCGGGACTCATCCACCTGGCTGACACTGACAAGGATCTACAAACTGAGGTGCAGGGTTTCAGGGTAAATCCTGAGGGGATTTGACTGACCTTGTCAGATACAAAAGTTACAACTCTTTTTATATAAGTCTTGCTCCTTCTTGGTCTTAACCATCCAGCAGAAAAGTATGAAAATGAAGTAGAAAAAGTAAAGCCATATTAATATGCTGAGCTGTGAAAGGCTCAAGTCAACAACTTCGGACATTGACAGTCTTACAGAAAACCCACTACTATTATGGACTATTGGACTATATTGGGATATTTTGCTGAATTCATGCACCTACAGTATTTAAATGACAATGGAATGCCCTTCTCTGACAAAACTAACCAAAAGAGGATACAAATGAATGACCATTTTGTATCTGTATACTCAAAATAGTTAGGATAGATATACAGCTCCATTCTCTTAATTCAATGAATAGAGAGGTTTTTTCTAATAGTGTTTGAGACAGGATATCAGGTCTGCATCTTGTACAATGAATAACCACTAAGACAACAATATGCAATGTATTAATTATTGAAAATATGCTAGTAATCAGTTGTGAAACTGTCTCATTGCTATTTATTTCTGATTTTTTTTTTTTTTTGCAGAACCGGGGATTGAACTCAGATCCTTGCGTTTGCCAATCAAGCGCTTATCCTACTGAGCCATCTCCCCGGCCCCAAAAATATTTTTTAAAAAATATTATGCAATACAAAAAAAAGAATATAGTCCTCTTACTTTGAAGGTTCCCAGCACAAAGAAATGATAGCTGCTTAGGAAAATAGAAATATTAATTATACTGATTTGATTATTATATATTGTTTACATGTACTGAAGTCACTTCGTACCCCATAAATACATACAAGTATTATGTGTCCATTTTTTAAATTTAGAGACCTTTTTACTCTTCTTAATTCTTAGACCTTGTTATGGTTTGTGACTAGATGTGTCCCCCAAAGCCTCATGTAGTCATGGGTTAGCCTTCTAGAGTTTGTGATCAATTCATGATTCCAATGCTGGAATTATGGGTGTGAGTGCTGCTGGGGTTACGGTTGTGAATGCTGCTGGGAATATGGGCATAGTATCTACCTACCCTCCAGAAGTTTGCTTACTGGAGATAGCCTGAGTACAATATGAGGAAAGGAGACAGGCTTGCTGTCTGCCACTGCTTCTCCCTTTCTCTTTGCTATTTCTGCCAACATGAACCGCTGCCCTCTGCCATGTGCCACTCTGCCTTGGAGCCAGCTGATTATGGACTGAAACCTCCACAAACTGTCAGCTAAATAAACCCTTCTTTGCATAATTTGGGGTGTAGGTATTTTGTTCCAGCAATGAGAGAAAAGTGCCCAAGACATAATGTTTCAGGAAGTTTGCTTACTGGAAAAATATATTGTTGTTCTGTTACATAATAAAAGTAGAATTTCAGCCATGGTAAAAAAAAGAAGAAGATCTGTGAAAGGAAAGAAAACAAATCTATTCAACAAGAGAATTATAAAAGTAAATTAAGGTAGAAAAAAATGAAAGAATAAAGAACAAATGAACAACAACAAAAAAGAGTAACAGGAAAAATATGAATAAAACAACTTCATATCGTTCTGTATGTCTGAGGCCATATACCCCAGTCTCCTCCTGCACTGGAGTTCTCATCTCAGTGAATTACATTTTCACCTACTAATCTGCCCAAACCAGGAACCTGAAAGTTCTCTCTAATCGTCTTCCTCTCCGCCCACCACACTGCGCTTGCGCTCTGTCATCAGCTCTGCTAAGTGGGTTGCAAATATGAAGGCAAAGGTGAAAGGCATCTGTGCTCCCTGGGTTCTTCAGGACACTGCATTTCCTCTGCTTTGTCTCCAGGGATCACAGTGGCGGTGCCAATCAGTTCAAGAAAGTAGTTTTCCAGGAATTCACCGATGGTTCTTTCTCTCAACCTTTATACCGTGGAGAATTAAATGAGCACTTGGGACTCTTGGGACCATACATAAGAGCAGAAGTTGAAGATAATATTGTGGTAAGTTAAGCACAGTAAAATGCAAAAAAATTAATTCTGTGTGTTTATTTTGTTTCTGACTATAAAGATAATGTAGTCTTATGAATTGTCTTGGGTGGTGCTGGGAGGGGGGTGGTACATTCCCACAGTACATGGTGCTGCTGGGCTGTGGTACTAAAGGCAGGCTTGACATCTTGGAGAAGATGCCCTTCGTGCCAGGATCTTGAGCTTGCGGAGCACATACTCTACCACTGGACTCCCCCATGGGACCCATTTTATTTTTTATGTTGAGATAGGATCGAGCTAAGTCACTAAATTGGTCAGAATGGGCTCAAAATTCTAATCCTTCGACCCCAGTTCTCAAGGGCTGGGATTACAGGTGGGCACCACCACACTAGTTGAGATTTTAAAGTATAGAAAACTAAAGAGGTTGAAAATATCTTAATTATCCTTTGAGTGTACATTCTTATATTTGACCTATGTACTTTTTTCTTCATGTGTTTGAAATTATGCCATATATAATTGTTCCTTAGCTTTTTAAATATCATGAAATAAACATTTCTTATGTCATGAAAAACATTTCCTGGTAAGATGCGGTGGTCCATGCCAGTACTCAGGAGGCTGAGGCAGGAGGATCTCTGAGAGTTCTAGGGTAGCCTGGACTACAAAGTGAGTTCAAGGCCAGCCTGAACTTCATAGCAAGACGCTGTCTCAAAAAATTGAAAAAACAAACAAAAATTTCCTACATAGAAATGATTTTATAGGCCGGCCAGATAGCTCAGCGGACTAAAGTGCCTGCTTAGGCAGACCTCAGAGGCTGGGGTTCGATCCCCAGTGTGCCGTGCTGGTTCCACCCCAGAGGCATGCTGAGACATCGATTGAGACTGGAAGTGGTGGTGCGCGCCTGTAATCCCAGTGCTTGGGAGGCTGAAAACAGGAGGATCACTATGAGTCCTATCTGTGTAGTGAGACCATGTAGACCCTGTACTAAATTCATAAAAAAAAGAAATGACTGTGTAATAGTCTGTTCTGTGAATTTGTGAAACTGCAGTTTACTTAATCATTATTTTGAATAGCCTTTTAAATACTTTTTTTTCACTATATAAATAATTCTATGATTACAGTCCTTTTCCTGAGATAAAATTCCAGAAGTCTCATGAACCTGACTATTTTAAGACTTTCTGTTATGAATTATCAATGTCTTTTGAAAAGTTCTCTTTTTTGGAGGGAGTGCTTTATTATTATTTCCTTGTATAATATCTGTTAGGTACGAACATACACAATTGACCAGACCAGGCATTCTGACACTAGTAGAAGATTTATTGGGGGCATCAAGCAGGCTGGCTGTCTAGCGGATCAAGACAGCAGTGAACAAAGCGTGGACAGGGGACTTTATAGGATCTTTTAGGGAGGGTGATTGTGGGCTGGAACAGCCGAGGGAGAGCTAATCTTGGCAGGGCTACCTGGTCTGTGGGGGACCTTTAATGTTAACAAAGGAGAGTTTTGTGGTTTCTTGCCCAGGTCAGAGTCAGGGGGACCTGTTCTTTGGTTTTGGCTTTGGCTCTCCGTGGGGCCAAGGGGGAGGGAGTTTGGGGGCAGGGTGCCTGGGAAACCAAGAGGGAGAGTGCTTGGGACAGGGTGCCTGGGAAACTGAATCCTGACTTATCAATATCTACTAAGCATTCATGACGTTAGTGAAAAATATTTTTCCAAGTTTATTATATCTTAATTTTCTCTTCATACTTTTATTGGTGTCTATTGATTATACAGTTTAAAAGTATTTATTTATTTATTTATTTATTTATTTATTTATTTAATTGAGGTATGGTCTTGCTACACAGTCCGGACTGGCCTTGTGCTCACTTTTGTAGCTCCCAGGCTGGTCTTGAACTTGCAGCAATCCTCCTGTCTCAACCTCCCCAGTGCTGAGATTACAGGCGTGTGCCACCACGCTTGGTTCTGGGGCTGGCCAGGCATGCAGTACTGGAGATTGAACTCAGGACCTTGCACTTGCCAGGCAGCCACTTCTGCCACTTAGATTAATTATCTCTCCAGCCCCACAGATTAATAGGGCTTTTTATATACACATAAAATATTTTTACCCCATCGCCCTCTTTTTTGCACCATCTCCCTAGTTTTACATTTTTTTGGGTTTCAATGCATATGTTTTCATGATATCAGTCCCCTGCTTAATTTTACAAATGAAAGTTTTTTAAATTAAATGGGTCTGAATTTTTAGATAGTAATCTATAAATATTTCCTTTCTGACACTTTCATGGTTTTGTTTATAAGAATTACTTCTTATTTAGAGATTTTTTTTAAATTATGAATTGTTTTTTCAATATCTTGTTTCTATATTTAACTATTAAATCTATCAATAATTCCTATAATTTTGAAGGTATTTTATATTGTTTTGGTTTTGGTACTGGAGATCAAACTCAGGACATTATACTTGCCAGGTAGGTGCTTAAACCACTGAGCTATCTCCCCAGTCCTCAAAGTTATTTTAGTGCATTTTTTGAGACAAACACTGAAGTAGTTTTCCAAAAATAGGTATTCATTTCCCCAATTTCTTATTTATATTAAGGACATAGTATTATGGGCATATTTATCTATCTATTTGAATTTAATTTTACTTATCTTATGTTCTATAATAAATGCATAAGTTACTTACAGAGTAAAACAAATTTGTTTTGCTTGTTAATTTCAGATTTTTAAGATCTGAAATACATAGCTTATTAAAAGATAATATACATTCATCCTGAAACTTGACATGAAGTATTTAAAATGTCATATGTCATTATTAACTCCTGGGGTTATAGACCTTTTTTTTTTTTTTTAACCAAGGATCAAACTCAGGATCTTGCACTTAGCAGGCAGGCACTTAAGCCACTGAGGAGCTATCTCTCTGTTCTCTCTCTCTCTCTTCTCTCTCTCTCTCTCTCTCTCAGCTTTTTGAGACAGGACCTCACTATGTAGTTCTGGCTGGTGTTGAACTCACTTTGTAGCCCAGGCTGGCCTCAAACTTTCAGTGACCCTTCTGCCTCAGTCTCTTGAATGCTAGAATTGCAAAGCATGTACTACTACATCTGACTTTACTATAGTCTGTAAACCCCTGTAGTGACAAATTCCCTCTTACTTTGGAATTTCTTTAGTGTTTTATTTTATTTTTATTTATTTTATTTTTTATTAATTTTATTGAGAAACAAATAGCAATGAGACAGTTTCAAAACTGATTAATAGAACAGTTTCAATAATTAATACATTGTACATTGTTATCTTCTTAGTGGTTATCCATAGTACAAGATGCAGACAAGATATCCTGTCCAAACACTATTAGTACAAATATTTCTTTTCATTGAATTAAGAGAAAGTAGTTGTAGATCTATCCTAACTATTTTGTATATACAGATACAAATGGTCCTTCATTTGTATCCCCTTTTTTGTTTAGTTTTGTCAGAGAAAGGTATTCCATTGTCATTAAATATTGTAGGCACGTGAATCACTCTTGTTTTTTTCTTTGAGACAGGGTCTCACTATAGTTCAGGCTGGCCTTGAACTCACTATGTAGCCCAGGCTGACCTCAAACTCATGGCAATCCTCCTGCCTCAGCCTCTCAAGTAATAGGATTACCGTGCCCATGTTTAATAATTTTATTATTATTTTTTGGTACCAGGCAGCAAACCCAGGACCTTGTACTTGCCAGACAGGTGCTTGTGTTACTGAGTTGTATTTCCAGCCCCTAATTCTCTCTTTTGGCTGAGGTTTTAAAATGAGGTTTATTTATTTATTTATGTATTTATTTATGTATTTATTTATTTTTGGTGCCAAGGACCAAACCCAGGCTTCCAGCTTGCTAGGCAAGCATTCTACCACAGAGCTAAACTCCCAACCCCTCTGTTTTGTAAATGTGAGTTCATGTCTTAAATTTAGAATAAAAAATTCCCCAGAATTTCCTTCATAGATCTTCAAATTTTGGTTGTAACAACATCTGCTCCCTGTATTCTTCCTCTAGGGTGTTACAATTTTGGATAAAAGCCAAAGGGTGGGCATTCCTATTGGAAATGTAATCCTTAATCTTAGGACTTAATAGCCTAAGTGATGATTCTTGTATTTGATTTTTTAATTGCTCATTTTACTCTGCAGGTAACTTTCAAAAACCAGGCCTCTCGTCCCTATTCGTTCTATTCTAGCCTCATTTCTTACAATGAAGATCAGAAACAAGAAGCTAAACCTAGAAAAAACTTTGTCAAGCCTAATGAAACCAAAACTTACTTTTGGCAAGTGCAGCAATATATGGCCCCCACTGAAGATGAATTTGACTGCAAAGCCTGGGCCTATTTCTCTGATGTTGATCTGGTAAGCACATCTTCCTTGTGCTCACTGCTTTCTAGTTTAAAAGAAGTGATCATTGTGTTGTATGTTAAGAGTTTTGGTATTTATCCTAAGCACAATGAAAAGTTTTAGGTAGGAAAGATGACATCATATTTATGTCTGAGAACTAGTACTCTGAAATCTATTGAAGAAGATAAATTGTACTGTGGGCAGATAGGAAGCAAACTAGAGTGCCACAAAAGTCAATAAACAACCTACTCTAGTTTATAGGTGAAAGAACTGATACTAATAGGATTGATGATTTCTCTCTCTAGGAAAAAGATATGCACTCAGGCTTGATCGGACCCCTTCTGATCTGCCACCGGAACACACTGAGCCCTGCTCATGGAAGACAAGTGACAGTGCAGGAATTTGCTCTGCTTTTCACTATCTTTGATGAGACCAAGAGCTGGTACTTTAATGAAAACATGGAAAGGAATTGCAAGGCCCCCTGCAGTAGCCAGATAGACGACCGTACTTTTAAAGAGAATTATCGTTTCTATGGTAACCTATCCCACATCTAAATATTAGTCATAGCAAAGTGGAGTGTGAGTTAGAAACTTAAGCATTTTACAGCTTGCAAGGACATGTTTGGGATGGAATGCTCATAGGTAGCTGTATTTTGGGTGAAGTAAAGGGAAAGGAACATGTCCCCTAGATTCTAAGCGCCTCGCCTGTGTTCCTCTTCTCCAGCAATCAATGGCTATGTGATGGACACCCTTCCTGGCTTAGTAATGGCACAGGAGCAAAGGACTCGATGGTATTTGCTCAGTATGGGCAGCAATGAGAACATCCATTCGATTCATTTTAGTGGACATGTGTTCACCGTGCGGAAGAAAGAAGAACATAAAATGGCAGTTTACAACCTCTATCCAGGTATGAGCTAGTTTGGCTCTCCTTTCTAGAGTATTTGTTGAGTACTTATTTTTATTTTTTGCAGTACTGAGCATTAAACCCCAGTTCTTCCGGTTAAGATCCATCCCTAGCTCTTTTTTAAAATTCTTATTTTGGGGCCTGGGAGATGGCTCAGTGGAATAAGCACTTCCCTGGCAAGCGCAAGGGCCTGAGTTCAATCCCCGGTTCTGCCAAAAAATAAATAAATAAATAAAATAAAATTCTTATTTTGAGACAGTGTCTCACTACGTCACTAAGTTGCCTAGGCTACGTCACTAAGTTGCCTAGGCTGGTCTCAAACTTGTGGTCTTGTTGCCCCAGCCTTCTCAGAGGCTGGGATTGCAGGCGTGATGTGCCACCCCCGGCTGGGTACTGTCAGTGCTCTAAACAGTAGGGACACAATTGGTGAGGAAAACCAACAAGCTCCCTGGTCCCAAATAACTTACTTTCTTAAGTAACTCAGTCTACAGAGAGGTAAGTTAGCCAATGAACAAAACAATTGGAATTACATGAAATTGCTATAAAGGAAACAGAACAGAATGAATGGATGATTAAGTTCACAGTGCTTTCCTAAGAAGGCTTTTGAATTTTCCATCTCCAATTTCATATGACAGCAGTAGTTATCATATAAAGAGTGATTTGGTTATGTATGTAATGAGTACATTTATTAAGCATTGCTGACAATGTAGATCAAAACACCATTTTATTTTAGTGTTGTCTCTTTAAAACAGGTTTAATAGTTGAGCTAAAATTCCGTTTCTTTTTCTTTTTCTTTTCTTTTTTTTTGCAAAACTGGGGACTGAACTCAGACCCTTGCGCTTGCCAGACAAGCACTTATTCTACTGAGCTATCGCCCAGCCCCCTAAAATCCCATTTCTTCATAAAAAAAAATCTGAGAAGCCCTCTTTCTTTTCTGCTCACCCAAGTAACAGACAGACCTGGAGTTACTTTATTTCATAGAGTTCAAGTCAGAAATTACAGCTTTCATTGTAAGATAAAAAGCAAATATCTGAACTTTTTACTTCCAGACTTCCCTTGCACAGCGTGGTCTCACGTGGGGCTGGAAATGTGCACTGGAGGAGGAACTGTGGTTGAGCCCTCTGCTTCTCCACCTTGCGTTGTTTCTGTGCTTCCCCTAGCCCTACAATCCTTGCCAGAGGCTATTTTGAACTCTAGCACTGACAATTAAAAGTAAGGGATCCACAGTGCCCCATCCTACCTAGAACTGCCACCACTGTTGTAAGGCAGTGCCACACGGTCTACACCTTGCAGGTGTTTACAGAGGCTCTTATAGCACAAGTTCAGGGGCTCCTCAGAGGCTCTTTTTGGTTTTGTTCCTCATGACATCCCCTTGCCTGCTTGGTTCCCTTCGTTCTGTGTGGCCACTTGTAGCTCATTCCTGACCCCTAGCATTCACCCCAGCTTCTCCCCCTCTCGGCAGCCCCAGTGCATTGGATCCAAGATGGCCTCATCCCGACTCTGCTTCTCTCAGAGTTCACATCTAGTCAATCACACTTACCTATGTGCTCTGAAATCTCTGAGAATGTAGGCCAGCCCTAGTGCGGTAGCACTCTTCATGTCCATCATCACTTGGTCTCTCATTTCCCTGGAAGGAGGTGACCAAACACAGTCTCCAGAGTGTCCAGCTATAGGGACCGCACAGGAAGCATTTTGAGTTTGAGGAGTTCAAGAGCTGTGGGACTGAATTCGGACATCTCCCTTGTATTTCATCGCTTAGTTTTTAGTGAAAGCAAGTGAATTTTGTTCATTTGGTTTTGAAAAGGTTCCTTTGAGACCATGGAAATGCTGCCGTCCAGAGCGGGGCTTTGGCGGGTGGAATGCCTCATGGGCGAGCAACTGAATGCTGGGATGAGCACTCTTTTCCTGGTGTACAGCAAGCGTGAGTAGCACTGTGGGCAGAGGTCCACTGCCCACCTGCCGATTTCCACACGGCTTTCCTCCTTGGGAGGGCTGCATTTGCTGAGAAATAAATACAAGTGTATGTCATTACTAAACTTAAGATAAACATTGTGGGTAAAAAACAAAGTCCTCCAAGAAGGACAAATATGCTGGAAGTCATGCGTACTTTGAATAGATGCAAAATGCTGGTGCTAAAAAACAAAACCACTTCACTTCACAGTAACAGACTTTGGAACTTATGTTTAATTCAGTTAGCAAAGATAACTTACAAATGTCACTTCGAACAGTTTGGAGATTTAGCCTTAAACAAGTAAAAGCACTACCACTAATGTACTTCTATGAACCCTAGTTTCCTCAGCTGCAAAATATGAATAGTTGTAATGCCTATCTGTTACAATAAATTAAATATGATAGCACAATAAAATATTCAGCACAGTTCTTGGTAGATAACAAACAGTAAAATATTAGTGTTTCTTGGTGTTCTCTCACTTTCAGTGACATATTTAAGAAGCTGGATTGTGTGCATTTTTAACCCTGGGTTCCCCTTTTCTGATTTCAGAGTGTCAGATTCCCCTGGGAATGGCTTCTGGACACATTAGAGATTTTCAGATTACAGCTTCAGGACAATATGGTAAATAGCCTTATTTTTGTTTGAAGAACCTGGATTGGTTATATTTTTTATGTCTGTTAGAGACTTTTATTTTTAATTTTTTTTTTCTTTTGGTGGAACCGGGGATTGAACTCAGGCCCTTGCACTTCCCAGGGAAGTGCTTATTCCACTGAGCCACCTCCCCAGCCCTGTTAGAGACTTTTAGATAAGCAATCCACCTTCAGAGTTTCATTAATTTTATTTCATCAATGCGTCTCCCAAAGTAACCATCTAAATTCAGGTCACCATTTCTCACCTGGGTAATAACTGTCTCCTTAAATATCTTCTCTACCTTCACTATCACTCCCTGAAGTCCCTTCTCTTCACTGTAGCTGAAAGCTACACTTTCCTGTGAACAGTGGCATAAAGCTTGAATAAAACCTACAGAGAATTCTCAAGCATCAGCTTAGAAAAGGGTTGGCAGGGCCAGGGAGATAGCTCAGCAGCATAGTGCTTGCCTGGCAAACACGAGGTCCTAAGTTGAACTCCTGTTACTGAAAACAAAACACTGGCAAACTATTGCTCATAGGCCAAATCACCCCACCACCTGCTTTTGTATATGTGAGTTAAGAATAGTATTTCTCTTTTAAATTATTTTAAAAAGACTATTTCATGACATGAAAATTATAAAATTCAAACTTTAGTGTCCATAATATAGTCTTCCTTTGGATAGAGTCACACTCATTCATTTACATTTTATCTATGGCTACAAGGGCACTGATGTAACAGAGAGCATACAATTTACTACTGTTAAGTTATTTGCACTCTGGCCCTTGACAAAAAATATTTGCCAACCCCTATTTTAGAGGGAAAAAATCTCACTTGTAAAAGAACATTGAGAATTATTTATCACACTAGTAATATTGGGAAAGACTGTTTTTTATTTACTTTAATTTATTTTACTATTTTAAAAATGTTTATTTTCTGATTTCTCTGCAATGGACATATTTAATAAAGATGTTATATCACTTGGCAGTGATGGTAACAAATGTTATTAGTATCAGCTAATTAGAAGTGCTAATTAAATCAACAAAATTATTAGTTTAGAAAATGAGAGGTACAACAGTGACAAGAAAACCTTAAAGAGAAATCAGTACAGCTTTGTACGCCTTTGCCTATATTCTCCACAACTAGAATTAGCCTTTCTCAAAAGAGCGATGTCATTCCCAACTGTCTGGGACCAATCTAGTTGAAAGTAATCTCTCTCTTCTTTTGTGGGCAAAGGACAGTGGGCCCCAAAGCTGGCCAGACTTCATTACTCTGGAATGATCAATGCCTGGAGCACCAAAGATCCTTTTTCCTGGATCAAGGTTAGAATTCCTCTTACTCATTTTGCGAACTCAAAGTATTATACATGTCCTTTCTACTGTAGTACTTCCTACCAGACCTCAGTCAACAGAGAAACTGAAGAATGACATGATTTATGATTTGTACAAAAATAGTCATCAGATCCAGTCCTAGCCCAGGCCCGGTGAGTGTGTGGGAGAGCTTCCAGCTACCCGGCACCAGTGGGGACCTACCGGTCCCAGCCCATGAAGAGGAAAATGGAGTGTCTGTTGGAAATAGCATCTTATGTGGGAAAATATAGTGCTGTGGCTTCTGAAGACATCGTCACTCTGGGTCCTCTTATCTTGTTCTATTTATGTCCCTCCTTCACCTATCACTGCTTGGTATTAATAAACACACGTGTGGCGGTGGTGGCATGTCTGTGTGTGCATGCATATGGTTCCCCTCTTCAAATGTAAGTTCCATGAGGCGAGGGCTTATTTACTGTTGTGTTCTTACTACCTAAAACAGTGTTTGATACACAGCAAGTGCTCAAAATTAATCTCTGAATGAGTATCTGAATGGAACTTGCAGTCAACTCAAGCACTTGGTCATTAAGCATGAGAGTCATGACCAGTTCAGTTTGCATGTAGTGGCAGTCCACGAGGATGTTTTTTCACTTGGATGTTACAGCAGTAACTTCTCTTCGTATCACTTACATGGTGCTCACCCTCTTTAAGCATGGGCCATTCCTTATCAATCTGCCGTTATTCACTCACTTGCTCTACAACCTTTACCTCCCCTCAGCATTATACTAGATTCCATGCTAGGTTCTGGGGTGGGAGAGAATATGACAGCTGACGCTGAGTGTCTACTATATGCCCTTCACTGAATGTGGCACATTACATGTATAAACATTTTAATCAGGGGAGACAGCTCAGTGGCATAAGTGCCTGCCTGGAAAGAACAAGGTCCTGAGTTCGATCCCTGGTACAAAAAAAAAAAAAAAGAAAAGAAAAGAAAAAGCAAAGAAACTGCTGAAACATCTTATTTTTTATGTAATTGGTACAGGGTCTGCAGGGTCTCACTACATAGATCAGACTCCTACTGATCCTCCTGTTTTTAGCCTCCCAAGTGCTGGGATTATAAGCATGCGCCACCATGCCCAGTCTCCATCGCCATCTCAGCATGCCCCTGGGGCAGGGCTGGCATGGGAAGGCACGCTGGGGATCGAACCCTGGCAGCTGCAGTCTGCCTAATCAGGTGCTTTAGTCCGCTGAACTATTTGGCCAGCCCAAACATTTTAATCATTTCAGTTAACATTACTATTATCTCAGTTTTACAGATAAATGAATTGGGGCTGAGAAGTTAGATGGTATTAATAGGTTCCCTGCCTTAAAGGTCTCAGTCTAATTACAAAGGCAAAACAGCCTTTGTAATGTGGTGTAATAATTTGCTAGAATGCAGTCAGATACAGCATGAAGTGGATAAATAAAGCAGCACTGAATTTGTCTGCAGGACTCAGGGCAGGCTGAACTGGAGAAATCATTTCAGAACTGACACTTCGAGAAGGTAGTGCCGCTCCTTACTGATAGCAGTGTTGAGGTGAGGTGGGTCTGGGGAGAGGGCAGAAGTTGGCTCTGGCTAGTTCGCATGTGTCTATATGTGCATGTAGAGAACATGGGCCAAGTGCGCAGGGCTCTGGATGCGGGCTTTTCCACCCATCCCGCCATTTGCTTCACAGCCTCACACACATCTCCACACTTCAGCATTGTTGTCTGCCTCATGTACGTTATCTAAGGTAACAATGGGCACATCTGTCACAATATAGATTCTTCCTAAGCCAATAATTTTAGGAGGTAGTACATACATTTAAACCTTGGTCAAAATAAAATGTTGTTTTAATTGGTAGGTGGATCTGTTGGCACCAATGATTATTCATGGCATCAAAACCCAGGGTGCCAGTCAGAAGTTCTCCAGCCTCTACATCTCTCAGTTTATCATCATGTATAGTCTCGAAGGGAAGAAGTGGCTGACCTATCGAGGGAATTCCACTGGGACCTTAATGGTATGTAAGCAGTCCTTTCAAGATAATGCATTCATACTTTAAAGATCTTTTGACAGATTTCATAGATGGAACCATCTTGGATTCTACACACTTAATTCCTAAAAAGTATGTTCTACATACGGGTAATAGGAATGATATGGACATAGGAAAAATATGTAGTGGTGTCAAAACCCTCATATATGATAAAAGTGAAGAGATACTGTTATTGAATGTCCAGAAGTCAGACTTTTTTTAAAAACTTGAGTTTAGAGATTGCATCCATGAATGCAGATAAAGATTTGTACATTTTACATAAAAAGATGAATGAAACCTGGGGAACTGATTCATTCTCTAGGGGTGAGCCAAAGACCCTTGCTTAATTAAGCTGGCCTAACATCTTAGCATCATTGCCTACCCTCCTCTCACAGTTATGCCCCGATGAAGTGCTCCACAAATCTATTCGATTCTTCGTGTGTTGCTTGTGTCTTCCTGCTGAAAATGCTTCAGAGAAAAACTTCAGTTTTGTTCCATGAAACTATTACTTTACAATCACTTAGTTAATATGTTAATCACATGTTTAATGAGGGGTAGAAAACAAACCTACATGAGCATGTTTGAAATTTTAAAAAAATATTATGAATTTGTTTGAAACTTTAAGAAATATTATGTTCTTTTGGTTTACTTTTCTGGAATCTAGACTTTGAATACCTCATTCATTTATTTTCAATCTTTTATGTTGAGAAGGATAAAATGGATATCAACCATTTCCAGGAGGTTATTCCTTTACCAGAAAGGTACTGAGCAACTATGATGTTCTACAGCAGGTATTACATTCTACTACAGGCCCTGGGACCCTGTAGCCCACTTCAGTCTTGGACATCTTCCTCTGTCATGGTTCTCGTGTGTCTTTACACCTTTGAACTAGTTACATGTAAATAGACTTTCACAAGCAATACTTGTCTTTATAGGAGCATCTTATAAGAGGGGAGGGGACCCAAAACCCCTTTAAGGATCACTGCTTTACTACCACTATTTTCAATAACTTGCAATCCTTTAGTGTAAATTGTTTTTTTTTTGGTATTTTTAGCACAGGGTCCACAGGTTCTACAGGGTCTCACTACATAGATCGAAGTGATCCGCCTGTGTTCAGCCTTCTAAGAGGTGGGATTACAGGCTGTCTCCATTGCTGTCTCGATGCACCCCAGGGGTGGGGCGGGGCCGGCACAGCAAGCCAGGGATCAAACCCCGGCCAGCCAAACCTGGCCAGCGTCTGCCTAAACAGGCACTTTAATGCACTGAGCTATTTGGCTGGCCCTCTTTAGTGTAAATTTTAAACCGTCTAGATGATCTTTGCCCCCTGGTATCCAAATTAAAACGTAGATCAACCATGTTTATGCTTTAAAATATTAAGATTTGGCATGTTAGAACACAGCATTATAGGCATGGTAGCATACAACTGTAATTCCAGCACTCAGGAGGATGAGGCAGGAGGATTGCTGTGAGTTTGAAGCCATCCAGAGTTACACAGGCAGACCATGTCTCAAAAGACCAAAAAAAATCATTGTTCATTTTTATATTAAAATGTTATAAGGGAACTTCCAACCTGCTGCAACTTGGCCATAGCCCAGCTTTCCCTATTATTGCTGAGATATATAAAGAGGCAGTGGCAGGACCCCTCCCCTTTCCTTCGAGTAGGTGGTAGGAGCAGCAGCTTCTTGTGCAGCTTTGGCCAAGCTTAAGGCTCAGGACCTTCATGGCAAGGAGGAGCTGTTGAAACAGCCCAGCGCTATGGTGGAGCTATTGCAGAGGCATCACCAGTGACTGGCTGCTGTACAGCCTCCAGTCTTTCCAAGATCTGAGTTGTCTGCAAATCCATCGCTCCGCTCTCACATTTATTGAGCAGACCCAGAAAGAAAACCTCAGGAAATTCCACAAGCACAGGAAGTACAAGCCCCTGGAGCTGCAGCCCAAGAAGACATGAGGCTTACACCAGAGGATCAGCAAGCAGAGTGAGAAGCTGGAGAGCAGGTGGCAGCAGCAGAAGGAGCGGCCAGAGCCTCTGCGCCAGTTAGCCGTGAAGCCTGAGCCCCAGAGTGGCAGCAACAAGCAAACTCCAACTGGGGCGGGGGGGGGGGCAATAGCAAGGGGAAACAAAGAACTTTAGTGTTTCCTGGAACTATGCCTATATAAGCCCCTGGCTATCCTTCCCTCCACCTCAATGTAAGTTTAGACTAGTGGCCTACAGGCTTTTCCATAGGCCTCAATCCAAATCCCATAACCAGTAACGCTCCACAGCCATTAAACAGTTCTGTTAAAAAGCAAAAAACAGTACCAAGACCTATAGCCAAGGCTGAGAAGAACAAACTAGAAAAAAGCCAAACAGTAAAGCAGCACACACCTTGCCCACTTCTATAATCACATGACCAAGGCTTTGAGGACCCCATGGGAAGCTTCCTGACATCTCAGAGTAGAATGGTATGGCTGGAACTGCCACATATGGGCCTCCCCTGTATTTCCTACTCCTTCCAGAGTTGAAGAACAAAAGCACAAAAAAAGAAAAGAAAAAACCCTGGGGCTCCACCCATTTCAAGGCACTTAACTCAGAGTAACAACCCACACTAGTCCCCCCCCCCAAGAAAAAAACAATCATGTATAACTTCAGCCAAAGTACGCATGTGCTTAAAGGTGAATGTTTGAGAAAAAGGTTATGTTCCGCAGAGTTTGTTTTATTACATTGAAAGTGCAAAAACAAAAACACCTACATAAATAAGAAAATAACCAGTCATAGTGGTGGATGCCTGTAATCCCAGCTACTCAGGAGGCTGGGGCAGGAAGATCACAAATACATGGCCAGCCAGAAAACTGTATGAGACCTTGTCTCAAAATAAAAACAGCTGGGGATGCAGGCCAATAGAACAGGTAGCCAGCATGTGGGGAGTAGGGGTTCGATCCACAGTACAGTACTTTCAGAAACAAAACAACCTAAGGGGAGTTCCTTGTAAAATCTGGACCAGAAAACCTACAAGTGGTGCTTTTAAAAATATTTCCTGTACATATTAATGGCCTTCACGGCAACATTGGCGCGCAAGCATAGTGTCCGACACTGGAAGGCCATCCCGCCTTTCCAGAACAAGGACACTGCCTTGCACGTGCGCCATGTGATTTTACAGCACCAAAGAACCACGCTTTGATTTTACATACTGAGGTTCAATACAAGTTGCAGCAAGACCCTCGACAGATAAAAGCTGCAATACAGAGTCCCTGTATCTATCAGGAAGGAACCAAAGCTGTGAGTTTCCATTCAAACAGTGAACACTCACTGCCACGGGAACTGCTGAGGGGGACACGTCTGTCTCGCATTAATCCCAGCAAGAGCCTGGCGAGTGCGCCCTAGTTATATTCATTCTTTGCCCCTCATGGCCTGCATGCCAGGATACTGCAGATATGAAATAAATACACCTCGGTTCAGTTTCTTCCCTCTGGAAACGACAGTCACGTGATACAGATAAGGTAAATCTCAACCCCAAGTCAGGAAAATCAGAAGTTTCATCAGAAACTTGGAGCTGCAGCAAAAAGATCGTAAGGAAATGAAACAGGAGAAAGTCGGTGATCACCAAGATACAGAAAGGCACTAAAAACCAAAGTGAACGATGAAATCACACCGCTTACATACTCTGAGCAGTGCAAACTCCGACGCTCAGGAAGAGGAATGATGCAGTAAGAAAGAAAGGGAAGATTGAAAGGGTTCTCACTTTCATTGCTGCAATTGTGGAAGACAGCCATACCCTCCACTCTCATTCTATCATATCATAATTGTGGGTGTTGCCCCATTATCATGAAAATGAGGTCTTGGGAGGTAGCATTCATGCAGCTAAATTCCTGACCTGGCAACCCAAAGGATAGGAGAAGAATCAGGGCCCATACATTCTGTTTCTCCTTTCCATGCCAAGGTCGGGTACCAGGCAAAAAAACGAAAGACAAGACAAATAGTCATTAGGTTACTGCGACCTCTCAAAGCCCCTGTCCAGAGGGCACGACGGTTTCCTGCAGCACGAGGTGAAGGAGGTGGTTCTGCTTGGCAGTCAACAGAGGCCACATCTCCACCTGCAGCGACTTGATGGCGTCTGTGTCCTTCTCATGGGCAGCCATGACCAAGGACTGCAGCAGCAGAAAGAGCTCCTCAGAGAGCTGGCTGCCGTTCTGTGGCCCCTGGCTGTCGAAAGCCTCCCAGGAATACTTCTCCAGCGTCTGGGCGTGCTCGGGCAGCAGTTTGGCAGGTGGTGGCTGCAGCAACAGCAGGAGCAGCACGCAGGACACCTCGCAGCGAACAAGCAGGTCGGAAAACGCGCCCAGCGCTGCAGGAGAGGGTGCAGCGGCAGCTGTAGCTGC